AAATGATATGTACCTAAACTGCAACAAACAAGCACTCGAATGACAAATATAGGCCATGTTTGTTTAATGACCGATCAGCCATGCGTTTGGCTAATTGTCAAAATATGAAATAGTCTATGGGACAGATGAAATATAGTTTTTTTAAACGTACTTTTAAGCTGTAGTATTTAAATATTAAAAATCATGGTGTATGAAAAAATTAAATGAGAAAAATGGTATGAAACGAAAAGAATATTATGAGAAATTTCTTGAATTGCCGATTTATTTTCAGTTTAGTCCTATTAAATTTGAATCGGTTTGGTTACGTTGGCTAAAAAAAATCATCTCAATTTAGTACAATTAAATTGTTCATCTGCCAAAAAAAAAGTTCATCTGCTAATAAATTTTAGTAAAAAAATTATAAGTTTTTTTTTTAAATTTTTAAAAACACTTAAGATTGTAGTGACGAGTTATTCAGCATTGTGGAGTAATAGGAGTTGGAGTTTGGATAACACTAGCATCTCAAACTTAATTGAAATGACAGGTTTATTGGCATATATATATGTGTCCATATATAATTATATACAATTAACCTTTTCTTCACACTAATAAATCTTTTTTTGTGAGACCCAACGAATATCAACCTATTTTAAAACAATACTTTTGTTTCAAAATATTTACACTTTACATAAAACGTATATTTTAAATTTTTTAGAATTTATTTTATTTAAAGATTGGTATTGAAATTAAAAATAAAACATACAAGTTTTAAAAAATGCGTCAAAAATTTTACAAAACAAGAGATGACAAGAATATATTATTTTATCATATTATCTATCAAAACATACAAATAAACAAAAGTTTCAATAACTTTTGAATGGTGAAGAATGTAATTCTTTCTCGGACGAGGAAATTATCTCATACAAAAAGTTGCCCGAACAACCACAAAAAATGCACAATACAAAGACACCTACAAATATATTCACTTCGCTGTGAAGTCAAGACTCGAGACACAAAATTATCCTTTTTTATAAAACGAGTTCTCCTCTTCTATTTACTCTTAACGAAATCAGATTAGATAAACTCTTTAAACAATGACTCTTTTTGAAATAAACAAAAAGTGAGTACTTTATTCGATAAATTTATAAATAAAATGGAAAAGTGTCATATTTTTCCTTGTACACTTTTTTTAAAAAGTGACATTTTCCCTTTATTTTACAATACTTTTTTTTGTGTACTCTACTTATCAACATTGCTTTGTCTCAAGTTTACCCTTGTGCTGTAAGAAAGTGTCATATACTCATATTTATAATTTACCCCTACTTTGTTAAACCTACAATTCCATCTTTATTGTCCTATGTTTCAGCCTAGGTGAATTTTAAAAAATCTGGTTAACCACTTTTTATTTTTATTATTTAAATTCGGAAAATGGTTTTGAGAAATGACTAGTTTTTAGAATTTTAAAATTTTGTACCTTCAAATAAAAAACGTGATTTTTTTACAGAACATGGAAAATTGAGTTCTAACTCCAAATAAGAAAGAAATCTTTTTGTTCATTCATGATATGCTTTTATTCATAAATCCAAAATTAGTTCTGTCCTTTTATAGTAATGCTTACATAATCTCAAGATCCACATTTAAAATGTGAACCTTCTTACATTTTAATGAAATTTAATATGAATATTTTCTAATTTGAAAAAGACTGACTTCTTTCATGTTACAAATACGCTAGGACCATGCTAAGGTGCCACCACATGGGTACTACCATGGGTGCACCCATACTTCGCACAGACAAACACAGACAATAATTGTCTGTGTCGCACAGACAATTATCGTCTGTGTTTGTCTGTGTGAAGCATTGGTGCATCCATGGTAGCACCCATGTGGTGGCACTTTAGCATTTTCCAATACGCTAAGGTGTATAAAAAGATAGAAACATTTGCCGTCTTTATAAATCGGGAAGAGATTTGTTTTTTTAATATCATGGAAACAAATCTTTACTAAAAACACCATTTCTAGAATTCTGGAAAAAAAAATTTACATTTGGGTTTACTAAAAATATGCCTTATAAATGAAAGTCTAGATTTTAAGAAAACTGTTTTTCTCTAAAATTCTAGTCACCCGAGTAAGGTTTTTTTTTTTGGGGATAATAGCATGGGTGCCCCCCGTGGTTTATAAAAGGAGCGCCAAAACCCCTTCTACTTTCAAAAGTTATCTGTAAAACCCTTGTGGATTTTTAAATAGTGCACAAACACCCCCTCTTGCCTATTTTACACATGAAATGACATTTCCGCCATTAGTTTTTCTCTATCTTCAAATTTCACTCTTTTCTTTACATTTTTTGTCATACAAATAAATAAAATAAAATATACACCCTCTTTCTAAAATTAAAATTTTTTATTTATTTAATTTTCAAAAATATAATTTCTTTTAGAAAATGTTACAAAAATGAAATAAAATACACTTTTTCATTATAAGTAAAAGTAAAATAAATAAAATAAAAATTGGATAACATATACTCACTCTATCTCTAATTAAAAATTCTAACTTATTTGTTGTTTAAAAGTAAAATAGTTTTTTAAAGACTTCAAAAAATGAAGAACAGAAAGATGAAATAAAATATGAAGTTAAAGAAAAAGAATATTTTTTATATTTTTATTTATTTTCATTACCTTTTTTTAATTATTACTACTTTTTACTTTGTACATAATATTTTATTTTTCATTTGTTTGTAACATTCTCCAAAAAATCTTTTGTTTTCAAAAGTACATCATAAAAAATTCTAATTTGAGATGGGAAGCATATATTTTATTTTATATATTTGTATAATAAAGGTAATTGAAATTAGAAAAATTCAAGATCGGGAAAAACAAAGGGCATAAATGTCATTTTTGCTTTAAAAATAGGTAAGGGAGGATGTGTGTTCTATTTAGAAACCACAAAAAATTTACAAATAACTTTTGAAAACAGAAGGGATTTTGATGCCCTTTATGTAAACCACAAGGGGCACCTATGTTGTTAACCCGTTTTTTAGTGTGAATGTAAAGTCAACCCCACCCCCCACCCCCCCCCCCCCACGCCACAACTCTTCTCATGATGATCCTCAACTCCATCATTTTCCTTGTGTTTTGAGCTAAAAAAAAGCATTAACCTTTTTTAAAAAAAGTTATTTTAATAAGACACCCTGGAAATTTCGAAAATAGTGTAGAAAATTACATCAAAGTTGACATCATTATACCCATTATCACACCACACACAATTATTGTCCGTGTAAAACTGTTTGAAATACAACAATGTCAACTTTAATATCATGGCAAATTCTATTATGGACCTAAAGTCCACCATAAATTTACATATGAACAAAATAAAAATGTTCTTACTATTTAAATAATTATATGTTTTTTAATAAAAAAATAAAAAAAATTATGTGAAAAAGCCACAAAATTAATATGCACCCAAAGTGTACAAAAGAAGCACTCTAATATCATATATACAAAACTATTATGGAGTATGAATTATATAGTCTCTTTAAAGCTTTGAAATGGTCAAATGCATTCTCCGTGTTGGACTTGATCCATTGTTCCCCGCTTAAATACTGATGAAACTTTGAATCTTTAATTTGGACCTATTAACAGTGAAATCTTTGGACTAGGCTGCAACATGGGCCAGACAACCCGCATTGACAAAAGGCCCAACTGACGAATTTGATTAGTTAAGAATTACTCCTCCGGCTCAAATTAAATTACATATATACTATCTCAAATTAAATTACATATTTACTATTCACGTAGTCAATTTTTTTCAATTTTTATTAGTCCTTTGATAAAATAATATAGCCATATCGACACTAATTTTATAGATCTTTTGATGATGTTAAATATCAAATTTTTATTTTTTTATTCTATACAATTTCTTATATAAAATAATTTTGAAATTAACTTCAATTAAATATCGTGTATCGAAACACAATTTAAACTGGGACTGGAGTACATTTCTGTTGGGTATGAATAAAATAAAAGTTTGTGCAGGTATAATTTATAGACAATATCTAAAAACTACTCGGACCCGCCCAAACAAATACTTAATTTAAACGAAGTATATTTTTTTAAATGATTTTAAATTTATTTATTATTGGGTACAATAAGTTTTTTTATAAATCCTAATTGTTAGTTATTCTTAAACAATAAAATCACAGTAACTCGATCATATAAGCATTTTTAATTTGTAAACGAAAATCTTTTTTTTTTTTTTGCAAAATTGAAATTTAATTATATTTATTCTGTTTCTTTAAGGCAAAGATCCTACTGGCTGATGGGCCACTCCATCCATTTTTGTACAACAATATATGACCTTCTTCAAGCATTGACTAACTTCGCTTTGGGCGCATTGTGGCTTTCCAAAGCCTCTTCCTCAAGTCAATAAATACCTTTTAGATTACTCCCTATATTAAATAAAGAAGAAATCATGGTGATTTGATAAAATTATATAGAATATGTCACCTTTTATTTTGGGAAATTGTTTATGTATTTTTTTAAATTTTAAATTTTATTTTTTTAAGTTCCACTCTAATTTTTAATTAAATTAATTTAGAAATACTTTTATTCAAACATTGTAAACAACAGTATGCAACTAAAAATGGGACGCAGAGAGAACTAGACATAGGGTATGAAAATTGTTGACGTCCTCATTTGAAGGATATATTTGACATTTCAAACTCGTTTCTTGAAGAAAAAAATAGATTTTTTTAAGAAATTACACAACTAAACCCGGACCGATATATATATATATATATATATATATATATATATATATATATATATATATATATATATATATATATATATATATAGACACACACAATAAATTTGGATTATGTGTTATGCCAAATATATATATTACCTACTACTATTCCCTTTCAGTCCACCAAATCAATGTCACTCATATATTAACATTGCACCTCACCTTCTCTTCTCCCCCCCTGCCTTACCAAACTGATAATCACAGTATGCCAGCAGGCAACAGTGACCCCTTTCCCTCTTCATTTTGCATTCCTCCTCCTCCGGTCTATATAATAATAAACCTACTGCCATTTCCTCAAAATTCATCACATTCATATCAATTCTTTTAACTCATTACGTACGCTCATTTGTATATGTGCGTAAAGATATAAGAAAATACCTTTTGTGTTCTTCCGTACCTCCAAACAAATGGCAAGCACGCGCATAAGTGGCATGTTGCTTGCGTTCTTTGGGTTTGTCTGTCTTCTTCTTGTAGGACTCCCTGCCACCGAGGCTGCTACTAAGACATACAAGTTCAACGTGAGTCGATCACCTATAGCATGCATGCATGGTGTCCCGCTGGGGTTTACCAGCTTTTCCAATTTGGCTGTCCCCCAGGAAAAAAATTCTCCATTTGCCCTTCTAGATCATGACAGAAGCATAAAAAGACCATTCTACTCTCCGCCCTGAAAAAAAACACATCCATTTACTTGCTTTATTAGTACACTTTTTATCACAAGGGCATAAGTGTCCATACCCCTAAAATCCCACAAAGTAGGGTCTAGGGAGGGTGTGTATGTAAACTAGAGTTGTTTTCAAGAGACCCCCGGCTCAGAGATAAGGGCATGAGTGTCCATCTAATAAAAAAGAAGGAACTCTTCCCCTTATATTGTGTTCCAGCCAATGCTGGAAGAGTACAAAGAGACGAGCGGGTATAAGAGTATTTGTAGTATCAGTTTGGCATCAGCATTCCATTTAGCCCGTAAAGCCACCATACGTATTCTAAAAATGGGCTTTAATTATTATTCCTAATACTGAAGAAAGATATTACATCAGTCTTCTTTACAAATATTTGCAGATTCAAGTGAGTAATGTGAGCAGGCTGTGCCATCCCAAGCCAATTGTGACAGTAAATGGGAGGTTTCCAGGGCCTACCGTTTATGCAAGAGAAGGGGACAGAGTTATTATCAATGTCACTAACCACGCACAATATAACATGTCCATCCACTGGTATAACACCAGATGACAGAATATGAACACCAAAAACACATCCATTTGTGTTTGCAAAGTAAATAAGTCTTTGTTTTATATGGATTCTTGCAGGCACGGACTGAAGCAGTTTCGCAACGGTTGGGCAGATGGACCGGCTTACGTAACCCAATGTCCAATCTCGACCGGGAATAGTTATGTCCATGACTTCAACATTACTGGCCAAAGAGGAACCTTGTGGTGGCATGCACATATTCTTTGGCTAAGGGCAACCGTTTATGGCGCAATTGTGATCATGCCACAACAAGGGACCCCTTTCCCCTTCCCACAGCCTGACAGAGAAGAAGTTATCGTGCTCGGTATGTAGCCCCTCTCCAAAAAAGTAAAAATTGAAAATAAAAGTCTGCTTAAACCAATGGTTAAACTTGTTTTTAAATTGCTTTTGTCAGACTTAGGCTTTCAACTCTTATGTGAACTTGGGTTGACACCCTAGCAAGTTCATATAATCTTTGCATTCCAACAAAGAGTCCTGTTAAAAACTCACCTTTGTCCCCAAAAATGTCTTATTTTAGTAAAAGAAGCTAATTTTCTTCATATTTAATTGTTTTTTACAAATAAAGTGTCCTAAAAGAGTTGTGTTTTTTAATTAGTTAAACTAACAGATGTTTTAAGTTTAGTTAAACTAAAACATAATTCTTAAGTATATAGCTATAAGCCTATAATTGATGATTTCCAATAATCCGAACTTACCATACTAAAAAAGGTTCTACCTTTGTAAAGCATGACTCTTTTTAGGACAGAGGTCTAAAATCGTATATTTTCTTGCATGTAAACATTCTAATAGCATTGTCTCAAATAATTCATATGATATCTATAGATATTGTTGCAATGAGAAACTGGCTTTTTTTAGAGAGATGGCAATAACCTTTGTCAAAATTCTCGTATGACTGACAAGTGTTCTCCCAAATTCTCTCTTGTCCTGTTATCTACACAGGAGAATGGTGGCATGCAGACGTTGAAACACTGGTGAATGAAGGGAACCGATTGGGGTTGCCCCCAAATGCATCCGATGCTCACACAATCAATGGGAAGCCCGGACCGCTTTTCCCATGTTCTGAAAAACGTAAGAGTAACTATTTTCACGTGGGAGATTAGTTGTGTATGTATCGTTATTGTTTTTTTGAAAAAATTGATCAAATGAAATATTGTTTCAATTGATTTGCAAAAATAGAATAACAAAGCAGTTTAATATGATAAATTTAGTTAAACCATCAAAAATGTTTCTAAAATATAGGGATCATTATGAATTTAAGAGTTGTGCCTTGCCAAAAAAGGGGTATACATTGGTCAAACATGAATCCTTTTTTTGGACAAATGTACTTTTTGTTAAAAGTTATGTCTTGTATTTGAAAGCAAATTGTCGTAAATATGGCTTTTAAGTCATCCTAAATCTGTAGCATTTAAAGATACTAACATTTCTTTTTTCCCATCAAATTTGTGGAACAAAAAAAAGTGACTTTAAAGTCAAATCAATACCAAACTGGGCATAAAGACATCATCAGTTCATCACCCAATTTGGAAACCAGGTTTCCAACAATTACTGGCATAAGCATTTTCTTGGTTGTGTATGTGGACAGATACATATGTTATGGAGGTTGAGCAAGGGAAAACATACCTGCTTAGGATAGTCAACGCTGCCCTAAACGACGACCTTTTTTTCGCATTAGCAAACCACAACATGACTGTAGTAGAGATTGACGCAGTCTACACGAAGCCCCTCTCCACAAATGCTATTCTTATCGCCCCTGGCCAGACAACTAATGTTCTTGTCAGAGCCAATCAAATCCCAGGAAGATATTTCATGGCTGCACGGCCTTTCATAGACGTTCCAATTTCAATAGATAACAAAACCGCCACTGCCATATTCCAATACAAAGGTGTCCCAAACACGATATTCCCAAAACGTCCTCTCTTACCCGCTTCCAACGACACTGCTTTTGCCTTGGCATTCAACGGAAAGCTTAGAAGCCTAAACACTCCCAACTTCCCGGCAAAAGTTCCACTGAAAGTGGATAGGAATCTGTTCTTCACAGTTGGTCTGGGGATGAATCCGTGTCCAACATGCTTGAACGGTACTAGGTTGACAGCTTCGCTGAACAACATTTCATTTGTGATGCCCCACACTGCCCTTCTAGAAGCTCATTACTTCAATATGACGGGAGTGTACAACACAGATTTCCCAGACAAACCGCCGATTCCATTTAACTACACTGGTGCACCTTTAACTGCAAACCTCAAGACGGCTCGCGGGACAAGGGTCAGTAAGCTTGCCTTCAACTCCACTGTTGAGTTGGTTTTACAAGACACTAATCTTCTGACTGTTGAATCACACCCTTTCCATCTCCATGGATATAACTTTTTTGTTGTCGGAACTGGAGTTGGGAATTTCAATCCTGCCAAGGACCCCAAAAATTATAACCTCGTTGATCCTCCAGAGAGAAACACTGTTGGTGTTCCCACGGGTGGTTGGGCTGCCATTCGTTTCAGAGCTGATAATCCAGGTATCCTTATAATCATCCACAGTTAGTACAGGAAATAGTTCCTCCACTATGCACTAAAAGTCTATAACTCAATTTGATCCTAAACCAAATTTACACTCAGCCTAGTCCACAGTTTTTGCTAATTAAGAAGGGTGCTTTCATAAGCTAATAACTAAATTGGGTTCAAAGATTTAGTTTTAAAAAGAATACTACATGTATGATTACTTCATTGGATTCAAATTTTATACTCGGGAGCCAAATAGAGGATCAAATTGAGTAATAGTATATGGCCAAAAGGACTAAATCCAATATTAACTTTATAATCAACTATGGAGAATCAGTTCACACGAAATTGTTCATTCCTTGTTTCTTTGTTTTTTCCTCCTTTTGTTGGAATATTTGTGCAGGAGTATGGTTTTTCCACTGCCATTTGGAGCTGCACACAGGTTGGGGGTTGAAAACAGCTTTTGTAGTGGAAGACGGACCAGGTTCAGATCAAAAGACTCTGCCTCCACCGAAGGATCTCCCACTCTGCTGATGTTCAAACAATCACAGTGTATATGCCTCGTCATGAAAAAAAATATCATATGAGGCCTATTGAGGATCCCACAAATTTGAAACATACATAGAAATGGTTACACATATGCTATTAAGAAAAGAGATTGAGAAAATATCATTCAATTTGTATTTAATTTGGAAATGTAATAAAAGTTCATAAAATTGATTTGACTTTGCGTATATATCACTAAAAAAGAAAGGGCTTAACTAAGAGTCCTTGTAGCTCACCTTTCTATTGGATAGGTGAGAGCCTGAGAGGTACAACTATGACTAACAAGCTATGAAAAGATTTGACTTTTGATCCCGTGACTAACTAGGTTATTTTCTTTTTTTTTGTCCCGTGACTTTTAGGTCATTTTCACTTTTGTTTTTTACAGGATGAGTGCTTAGGATCAATAGGGGCCAGAGATTCAGTTATATATGCACCAAAAGTGAAAATGACCTTAAAGTGAAAATCCACCTCAAACCCCTGTGTCTTACTTCGTATATATGAAGAAAAACAAGGACCGGTAACAAAATTTAAAAGAAGTCTAGTTAAACAACTTTAATTTGACTAGAAATATAAAATACAATAACTTAGAAGAGAAAAATAAATTTACATGCTTAATTATCTGGGCCATAGGGCTGTAAATGTATAACCAAAAATTTGATTATCGTCCGCATCCGTATCCGTTTGTACAGAAAATATCCGCATCCGTTAAAAGCAGTTATTAACTGTATCCAATTGGTAAACGGATACGGATTTGGTAATCATACATCCGATCCGTTTAGAATCTGCTTTGCATTGACATCCGTTAAGTAACCGTTTATCCGTGTAACAGATCCATGATATATAGTTTTTCATAATTTTTTATTTTTATATTTTGTTTCTCTATTGATATCGCAAAGTATAAGACATTTTTATATGCAAAATGTATGTGTAAACACAAAAAAATTTGTAGACATAAAAATATGAAACAATGCAACTGGCAGGCAACTCAAATTCTAAAAAGTGAAAACACACATTTCACCTTGAAACAATGCCTTGACCAAGTTTTTGGAAAATAAATCTGGCCCGTTATTGGGAAAATGGGATTTAAACAACTATCTTCCATAGAGTAAGGGGCTAAGGGCGATTAAAAAATCAAATATTCAAGCCACCTAGGAGCATGAGAAAGAAAATCCATGAGACCTTATAATAAATGAGTAGTGTCCCATGGAATCACATCTAATCTTCTGTATGAATGTTCCCAAACTTCTTTGCCTCTAGCTCTCTCAAAGCGGTGGAACTCAGTTTGTCCCCATTTAACTCTTAACACAATAGATCCACAACTACAATCTGCAAAAAATTATCAAACATCAATATTAAAGATTTAGCAGTTCAATAATGAAGTAGAAAACAAAGTGAGATGTGATATAATTATGTTTATATCTAAAGAGTTGGCCATACACAGACCGTAAGTAGTGAGAGACCTCCCTTGGCCCTCTTCCTATTGACCGTGATCCCACCAGGTAATGTTTCCTTGCTGTGACAAAAAACCCATACCCAAATTTCAAAAGGAAATTCCTTTTGTGCATGACTAGACAAATTAAAACCTGGACAAAAAAAAGACAGTGCCAATGACACCCCACGCCCACACCCTGCCAAAAAAGAGGAATCATGTTTCAAAAGTTTTTTTGTCTAAAAAAGAGTCATATTTGATCAAGTTCAGCTAGCTTTCATGTAGTTCTCCAAGAAGTTATTAAAAAACTAAATATGGATTATAATATGCTTTGTTATGCAAATGACTTGATAAAAATATGTGCAGGATTATGTGTGTGAGTTTTTCATTTCCAAAATTCAAAAGTTATATCTCGAGCATGCAAAAGTCCTTTTTTGGGACAAAGGGATTTATAATTTTTTTCTAAGAGAACATATTTGATCAAATTCTTTTAGCCTTTATTTGATTCACTGAATAAATAGAGAAGAGACATATGGGTAAGAAAAAGAGGGAGAAGAACAAATAATAGAGAAATATGGTATTAGGTGGGCAAGAGAATGAAGATATTATTAAAAATTAAGAATAAACACATTTCAAAGGTTAACAGAAAAAAATAATAATGCACACTTGTTTAACCAGTAAGATTTATGCCCAAATATTAGAAATGATAAGATGAAGAAGAAAGAAAGATTTAATTAAAAAAAAATGACTACAATAGCCTCCAAATTTAGAACAGTGATTGGAGGACCATAAGGATCAACAATTGGCTCTGTGCGGACAACCAGCTCAGGATTGATGCTCTAGACTGTGTGGGTAGAGACATATCACATATTTCTAAACCAAAAGACAACTAGTAATTAAGGAGTGAAATTAAGGCCCCGTTACATAGCTTTACTCAGCTACTTGTCTTGTTCTTCTTATCACTGTAACACTCAAATTGAGTAGCCATTAACCTAGTTATTTGGCTAAAATCGGTTTTGCCAAGAAAAATCAGTAAATTCGGCTATTTCAGCCATATAATCCATATTCCATACCAAATCCAGTATTTCAGTAAATTCAGCCATACAATCCAAAACATCATATTGCATGCTAAGGTAAAGGGGGTGGAATTTAACTGAGAAGTTGTAGACTTATACTTGGCCATTGCCACAAAATAAATCGGACTACATAAATTCCCTATGTATAAGTGTAAAATACTAATGATTAGTACCTGAATGGCTGAATGTAGTCTTAAACTTGCTGCATTCTTAGCTTAAGCGGCTCTATTAGATTGCCATACTGCACAAAAAAACATTTATCTGTTCTCATTGCATTTATATATCTCAACTGGAATGGATAGAGGGAATCACAATACTACAACCAGCTTAAGTATACATGAATACATTTTTTTTCCAAACAATGCCTGAAAACAAATACCATTTTCTAAGTGGGAGTAAGTGCTGCATTTCCACTTTAAATTTCAACCAAAGATCACAATGCATAAACAAACTGTGATTTGCTTCAAATGTTTCTCCCTTTTGTAAGAACCTTTTACTTCTAGAGTTGTATGCTCTAAAAAAGCAAATGACCGGGAAAAGAGATGGAAATCATCCACTTCAAGGTATATGCTTGAAAGCAAAAAAAATTGCAAATCAACCATTAAAGATGAAGGGGTCACCTATCAAATGCAACTTTTCCTATCCAAAAACTTAACTCTCAACTTTCCACCGCCTCCAACATTCACCATAATTATTATCATATAAATTGGCACATATTAGTCGAATGTATTTTCATATTATAGAATAGTACATTTTAAGAGATATTAAAGGTCAAACTCAATGACTTTTTGGTACTTCTTTCTAACCACAGTCTATGAGCATATGATTTGGAACATAGGTACTTCTTTCTAACCACAGTTTGATACTATACATTTCAATAAAGTCTACAAAGCTAATGATATACTCATCCATGTAAGAGTTTCCATCTAGGCCTCAAAATCTAGTCAATAAGTTGAGGAAATTCGCACACGTATAATTAAAGAAAACATATAGATGAGGTCTTTGTTCTCATTCTCAATTAACAAATTACTTGAACATCCATAAAAAATACTCCCTTCGTCCTAAATGAAGTTTAGAGTTTGACTTCATGCAGTTTAAAAAGCATTAAAAAGTAAAAATTGCATTGCCAAAATTCGCGTCGAAGAGAGAGACACGGTTTCATTCCTTAATTGGTTAATATGTAAGTGTAAACATTATTGTGTATCAAACCAAAAAGGAAAATGTAAACTTCATTTTGTAGTGAAGGACTACGAAATAACAAGAATAATTAGTTCAAACCTAGCAACGCAGATAAGGCGGATTTACAATAGTAAATAAGACCTTCTTTGAAGAAGAGACGTTTTAAAGGAAAAAAAATACTACGTAAGTCACTGAGTATTTGTCTATAAGTATTTGTCTTTTTTCGGTCAACCGTTTTCAACTTTTGACATATACAACAACAACAACCCAGTTAAATCCCACAAGAGTAGGGTCTGGGGAGGGTGTGTGTACGCAGACCTTGCCCCTACTTGAAAGTAGAGAGGCTGTTTCCAAAGAGACCCCCGGCTCAACATTGAAAGTAGAAGACTTTTGACATATAATTAAATAAAATATATATTGTATATTACTTAGATATAATATTATTTTGAAAATATTTGATGTAATAAATCCAATAAAACTATTTTGGTATCAATATCTAATACCATTTTTATTTAATTTGAGGTCAAATTTTATCAATTTTGGGAGTAGAAGACATTCAATTGAAGAAAAAATAAAAGCAAATGATGATTTGGTGGAAAAATCAAAATAGAATTGATCGATTTATGCAAGGAGGAAAGAAATAAGCACACCAGGGATGGTAGAATAATGGATGAACCTTGATAAAGAGGCTGTGCCGGTCGTGCAAGCGGTCTAAAGTGCCGCCGATAACAACCGCGGCGCATGAATCTGGCGGAGACGAGGTTGAGTTGTGCGCCGATGCCATTTCCACTTAGATAACAACCGCGGCTACTCCAATATTCCCTCCATCTCAAAAATAAATTACCTTACCTCAAGTATTCCCTCCATCTCAAAATTAAATTTAATTTAGAGAAAAAACCTCAATTAAAAATCTATATATCACTTCTTGTCATTTGAAACTTAAAAATTCAAATCTTAAAATTGAAATTAAGAAATTGAAATGAAATACTATTTTATTACTCATATCTTATAAAATAGAATATTTTGCCATATGTCATCTAGAACCAGGATTTGTAATTTTATCTTTGTCTTCAGTTTTGAAACAACAACATAAAGCTGACTATGAATGAAGAATGAATTGGTTAAATATAATCCAACAAATTACAACGCTGACCTTGACTTTTGTTGATAGTCATTGCAAAACATAAAACTATTGAGAATTGTCCTCTCTAGAACTTCAATTGTAGTTCTTGATCACATGATGATAACACTCTTTCACGCTATTCAAACTATTTTGATACCTCTTTTTAAAAACTATTTTGTGGTTTGACATCTCCGAACATTTGAATTCATTCAAAAACTCAACTATTATTCAATCGCCATCAACACTTACATCTAAATCTGTCTAGCATGAATCATCAAAACTCCATCTCCAGGAATGAAGGATATGAAAAAATTATTTTCCATTTCTACAACCTCAAGCTTGAGTGTCAGTATTAGTGCCCTATCCTTGAAAAGAGAATAACTTTTTAGATAAAAAATATTAGTAATCATATGATTTTGAATGAAAAATTGTAAATACAATTAGGCAAATTTTATTTATTTTTTCTTTTACGTTTGAATAAGTAATCATTCAAGTCCGTGAAAACATTATTTTTTAATTAACTTGATTTAAATAGTTAATCATTAAAAAATAGTCTTTTTATAAAATATTAATTTAGAAATTTAAATATACAGGAGTATTTTATATTTTATGTCAATGTTTAAACTAATAAAAGAAAAACAAACTTCATTTAATAAGCATATCATAAACAAATATAAAATTAATTTGGAGACAAAGAGAGTATATTTTTTAATGAAAGAAATCTTATTTATTCATTGAAAGTTCTATTATAAATGAAATGGAAAAGAATGTAAAATTAAAAAGAATATTCTAATAAAAAAGAAGACCTAAATTCCATATTTAAATTTATTCAATGATGTTAAAATCATAAAGAATGTTTGTGTAAACAGAGTATGGTATGGTAACACATATTTTGATTAACTATATTCTATATTTTAATTTAAGTATCATTTGCTAAAAGATAATTAAAAATAATATATTTTTAAATTTGGATCATAAATGGTCTAAAACGTAATAAGTTTTCTAGTCATTAAATCAAATCATAAAATTAATATATTTAAACTACTAAATTATGTGTAGTATTTTTTCTAATTGAAGAGTAATATAAGCCAATCATGTAGTATTCTTTAATTTTATATCATTACTTAAACAAATAGACTCAAAATTAATTTTTTAAGCATATCCTAAACAAATACTCATATAATGTTTTTAATGGTGAAAAGAGTTACGTGTTTATTAATTGAAAGCTTTGTTATACATAAAGAGAGAGAAAATATTGAATTAGAAAAGACTATTATTATAAAACAAAAATCTAAATTTCATATTTAAATCTATTCAAAAAATGTCATCCTAAAATATTTATTTCATATTTTTCTTGTCTGAAAATTAAGTGAAATAAATCACATAATATTTGGTAATGAAAATGCTCATATATAAATTCAAAAGCAAACATCTTAAAATCTTTTTTAAATTCATACTTTTTAAAGCATTCGGAGAATATAATACTTTTGGTGTGGTTGCAAGATTTCATTATCATTTGAAACTAATATTTTTAACTCTGTCTTTATTTTACTCGTGAACAATAACATAAAGTTAACTATGAGTGAACTTCAACTTAGTTAAAATAATCAAACAAATAGCAATATTTAACTTTGACTTTTGTTCTTAGTCATAGCAAAACATAAAGAGTTCATCGTTGTATATCTTCATCTGGTCTTCATTCATTTTAGATATATAATGTTTAAGATTAAATGATAATTTTTCTTTATCATTGTTCAACTTCTCTATCAAGAAACTATTTTAAAATCTATTAAGTTGAAAGAGAGCAGATGACGAAGGAAATTTTTCTTTTGCAGATTTTTTTGTTTAATGCCCCTCAAATTGCCACATCACCATTATTTGCCTAAAATGTTGACACATAAGCTCTGCCACATGTCACCCTTTAGATCCGCCAAATGTTGCATTCCTGCAGCTCCGACTCTGCTTTATATATATAAAGGATATAGGAAGGATTATTATTAATTTTACTCTGTATTATTTTATATTAAAAGATGACCTATGACGCATGCAAATCCGTTGATATCGATTCCTTGGAGGGCTCTCGTGCAAAAAGGAGACTTTGAGTCTTCTTCGATAGCGAGCGGTTTGAATAATCAACCGTCGAGTATGTCAAACGTCGACCTTAACATTGATGAAATCATTGTCCGATCGACTGAAGGACTATCCAACGAGGAGTTCAACAAAAAAATACCAAAATTGGTATCGAGAATCCCACTCAAACTGTGCTACCGGCGATTCCGGTAATGGAATCATACAGGCACCGTGTCCACGGCTATGGCCTTGTTTGGACGTTGGCTGTTGGCAGTTCGTGCGAGCTATTATGAATGACTGTTTAGTTTGGCTAGTTTGACTGGCAGAATGAATTGGCTGATCGTTAAAAATGTTTGTTAAAATTAGCTGTTTGAAAATAGTTTTTCCTATATATATATATATATATATATATATATATATAGACACACGCACACAAACACACACGATATTTATTTTTCATTTTTTACATGTAAAAATTAAATCTTTACTATATGGAGTATTAAATTTTAATTTCATTTAATTCATAATAAATTATTAATATAAATTTTTTTAATGATTTTTGCTATTTATTTTCTCATTTCATTTTTTGAAATTTTTAAATTTTAATTTTTTTAGTATTTAATTTTTTTAAATTTTATTTTTATTTTTATTTTTTACATATATTATAAAATATCTTTCAACAAAAATGATTTTAAAAAAATTATTTTTCCTAACAGCCAAGTCCAAATGCTACTCCCCTTGGCATTTCAGATTTTGGCTTTTTGGATCAAAATGCCAAGTGAAAAAGACATTAGCCAAACAATGGTTTTGGCGGTTCGCTTGGTCAAAAAAGTCAAAGTCAGTCAAAGATGCCAAAAGCTATCCAAATGCTGTTTTCCAAACACGGCCTATATTGTATAATGATTGTTACTTTGTTTCATCATTAGTCCACCGGCAATATCTACATGTGACTCCTCCACTCCATAAGAACAAGCAATAAGTAACAAAAGTAAGGCTCTCTTCTGTACGCATGATTTAATTGAATCTGATCTGAATTTTTGAAGTTCTGTTCTAATCTGATTGGGTCCGATCTCACCTGATTGGATATGATTTGATTCGATTTGATCCGATCTAATTGAATCTAATCTGATTGGATCTGATCAGATGGTTTTGACTTTATCTAATTAAATATGGTGTAAATGAATTTAAATTTGATTTAAATTAAACTTGAAATTATTACTAAATTTAATAGTTTTAAAGTATTACAATTCACATATGCTTAAAAAAAGTATAATAAGAAAATCAACTAATCATTGATATATCTAAAAAAAATTTAAGAATATTAAACATTTTTTCAATATCACTACTTTTTTAATTTTTGTGAAAACTAAACAATCGGTATTAAAGTAACCAGATATTAGAAAATATGGATGTTATTTTACAAAAATATCACATTCTACATGCATATTACATAGTAATATATTTCATGTTACAAACTAAAGATCATATAAAATCTTAAACACTAATACTCCTTTCACCTTTATCAATTTTGTGATGAACTCATCTCGTGTATATTATACCATGATAAAGTTTAAAAGTAAGTCTTTTTAAGTATAAAATCATTATGGTTTTGATAACTAAGTTTTGTACGGTTATTAAAGAAACAAGTATTTCAAATTAACTATTTTTGAAGTATGAAAATACAACTTTTTAAACTTTAACATTGCTTCCATTCATCATTCCTACAAGCTAATTAAGCAAATACTAAAAATAAAAGTTTGTAGTTGAAATATAATAATAATAGTAATAATAATATAACAATAATTGATGGGTATATCCTTATACCCGACCCGGACAACCGAAAGGGACAGGTCAAAATATGACCGGTCACTTTTATCAATCACCAAATGAGGTTAACTCTTCGATTGGGACGGGTCAAAAGTTGACCGGTCACTTCCACTAAAAAAGTGACCGGTCACATTTTGGGCGATAGCCAAAATGTCGCCTAATGTTACAAAGGACATTCTAGAAGACCAGAGACGGGTTGAGCACAAAGAATGACCGGGTAACTTTTGAGAGAAGGTGACCGGTCATATCACTTTACTTGGCTAACATTGGTTCAGTTTCTTAGGCATGGTGAACCACGTCAGAGGTCAAGGGGACACCCCGCCGCTCATCCATCACGAGGCACACAGTGAAAGGGATGTTTGTCATTTTGCAGGGTTGATTGGATTGAGAATATCCATTTTAGTCTTTGATTGAACAGTACATGTCTTGGCGTATAGTTGCTAAATTCTATGATTGTACAGTGTTCCCATTATCTACAGTGACCTTCCCACGAGCTTCCTATTTTGTCCATGGATGAACAGGGGAAGGTCACAAATCCTCCTCTATAAATATGATGATATTGGATAGAGGAGGGGATCCAATTTTTCTCTCACTAAAGTTCACTCTTGAGATAGAGTAAGAAATATAATTCGGACTGAGGAGATTTACCCGGTCTAGGTCATACTTTGTGTTCTTGTTGTGTGTTTTATATTACGGGTTGAGTGTGTCCAGGTCAAACCCGGTTAACCCACCCCGCTATATTTACACCATCATTTTAGGCGCCGACCGTGG